ACAAAACCTGTTTCAGCACTTTTATAACAAAAAATGTTAGTATTCTGACTCTAAGATACACCCCAAACATATATCATAGCTAGGTTATTATAGCATATATTATAGCATATATTATAGCTAGATGCTAACCTATTAAGATACCAAAAGAAAAAAATTTTGTTTCTATGTCATCTCTGATAGAGAAAAGTGATAAAACACACTCTGATATCCTTTTTTTTCTGCAGTGTGCAAGGTGTGCTTTAACTTTAGAGCGGAGTCTGTTAGTCAAACAATGGGAGAGCATTAAAACATGCCAATATAGCAGTATTAGTCAACAGCCTCAGTCAATACATCCCACTGGGTTGTATGCCTTCCTACAAACACAAGCAATTGCTTCAGAAGGCCTCAGCACTAGATAGAAACATCAATTACAGTAAATTACACCAAAACAGTGTGTAACACTTCAATTTGTTTAATCTCTCGAGCTGTCTGAGCTGTTTTGGATGAAAGCAGAGCAGAGTAAGATAACATTAAATAGCCTTAAGATGTGTTGCATTTACTTGGTCATGAGTTATGTATTTTTGATTCCAAAGACTTACTTCGAAAGCATTATTAAACTTCCTAAATATTTTTTCCCATGTGCAGCCTAGACTTTTCATGTTGAATTTAAATGGGAGCACTCTCCTGCACTGTGTCAGCCCAGAGACTTGCAAAATCCACGCTGATTGCTTAGTATCCTTTTGGCATTGAGACAAGTGCTTTGAGTTTATAAAGTTGAAAAGAATGAAAATGTTTTAGATGCTTCATGTGTTCCTTGTCCCAAAGTCCAAGGACATGGACAGATAAATTCTGAGGTGAGTCCTTTTTTACACGCTGCAAAAACAGCTAAACTATCTTGGTTTAAGCAATCTTGGGTTTCACTTGTATTTTCTTGCAATGGAAGATAAACGGCTTCATTCAAAAGTACCAAGGCATAGGTTCATAAATTTTGAGGTAAGTCTTTTTTGACACTTTTGACACAATGGAAACAAGGGTTAAACCGTCTTGGATTAAACTATCTGGGTTTACACTTTTGTTTTCTTGCAATGGAACCACAAATGATAGCTGCAGCAGCTGTGCTCCAAAACAAAAACGTCCAATTTTGACTAAACAGTGCATCAATGACTTCTCTTGCTATGGTTGATTATCCAAGAGGGGTATTGGTTGCTGCGGACAGATAAAGATTTGGCTGTTTGAGTGAACATTTTGGGAGGGGGTGGGGGTGCTGGAGTAAATGAAAGACAAATGCGAGTAGTGCCCACTCAGCTATTTTCCCAGTCAAGATCAAAGGCACGCCGGACTGGCCGCTCCACGGGAAACTTGAGATGGGTCCTGCCTTTGTTTGCTGTTGCTAGGAGACCTGCAGAAGGCTGAAAGTGTTTGCAGTGGGGTACAACATCAAAACCATTTCCAATATAAATTTTTAAGACAGCCATGTATTTGTGTCCCGGGCTTTCAATTTACTGAGCACAGTGAAAACACTGACAATAATGATTCGACGCTCTGTTAGCCATAGATTATTGTTTGTTTAAAAAGAAAAAGTAGTTGTAGACAATTATACATGTCCACACTTTGAAAACGCTCTTGTCGGTATTGTGTATACTATACAGTACACGGTATCAGTGCCTGTCATAGTACTTAGCAATTTTTAGCTGTGCCGATGAACACAATATTTTCATCAAAATACCATACACACAAGAAAACAAAATATAAGAACTGCATACATTGCAGTTACGCAACTTAACTGTTGTTTGATATATTTATAAGCTTAGGTTTGGCTTCCCAACGAAGCTAATTATGATGCTGTTATCTATTAATGGGCCCCACGATAGTAAGGGTGGCTAGACATGTGTCACAGAGAGCTCATTACATATCATTAGTTCAACACTCCAATAATGTGACCTGCTGAGCAGAAGATAATGACTTGGCCCCTGATATTTGCAGAACTATTGTGTGCTAAGCAAAGCACCACCAGGAGAATATATCTACAGGCTTAAGAGCTACATGAAAACTGATAAAGCCATACAATAACCTAAGGTACACACATTTTCCTGTGTTGTGTGTGCAGCATAGCAAAGAAGAAAGCTGCATTTCATTGATTTTTTTTTTCTTTAACAGAACTGGGGCATGAGAGCTAACTCATTAAATAACAATCACGATGAGCCTCTTGTGAACAAACAATTTTTCTTTCTTTACACACGGTGTTATATAATTCAGAAAAATAAATGTATATCACAAGATTTGTAATTATCTATTTACTAGTGTGTCCTATTAATAGACTTGTACTATTGTAGTTGATCACTAGAGTGGCCCTAAATCACCCTGTGTTACATAACTGTGCATGGATAACCTGACCTCTTTTTTTTTAATGAGAAGGAAATCAACACTTTCATAATTTATACAGGAATAAATCAGTTCAATTTACACATACATCCAAAGTACATGGACTCAGTCAATAACTAGCCAAACATGTAAAAACTGCAGGTGCCAAAGCAGTGACCTTCGTGTCTGGAACGATGAAAATTAGAATTGTGCTGTGTCTGCCTTGTGTTTTCACTACTTGCGCCAACTGGCACAGCACTGGCGTCCTCTCCCCGGCTCCCAGTCTGCCGTGATGACAATGGCAACCAGTTACCGCATGGCATGTAAAAATGACAAAAATACCAGCAAGCCAATGGACAGTTGGAGGATGCGAAGATACTATAATATAGCTGATCAATCACTCTGACAAGAAAATGTATTCCTGGACACGGCCATCGCAAACAACATTTGAATTTCTAGGACATCCGCTTCTTTATTCGTGCCTGTAAAACAGCGAGCTTTCAGTTGCATTAAAAAGAGCCAATTTCGAGCTGGAAGGAGAAGAAATGAGGCTCCTTGAGGATTCTAAGTTTGTATCCTCTAAAGAGCTGAATTTCTCTTCTACCCAACAAGAACTAAAAGTGGCCTACATTCAAGTGTGTCACGTGCTTATCTACTGTGTCCTGCCTTAACCTGCTCCAGTCAGTACTAGAGTGTGCTGGTGAGGCTTTAGCAGAGAATATGCAGCATACAGCAGGCAAACAGTGTGGAGACAAAAATGATTCATCTTCTGAAAATTTGTTGTACCGCTTACAAAAAAGAATCCTGACTCATCCTGCTGTTTCTGTGTTTCTATGGAAGAAAGAGTTGTCTTTTCTTGTCACTGCAACCAGGGATCCACCCCTGTGTGACATCACATCGCTGCCAAATCTTGTAAAAGCCACCTAAATTCGCATTAATTGGTGTGTGACTAGCTGGCATTAACTGAACATCATGTAGATTTATGATTTCTCAGTACAAATCTGTGCTGAGCTTGAAATAGTTTTTGACTGAGAACAACTTTGCTCATTTGGCTGCCACCTGCTTCTCACTAATACAAATACTTCACTGCAGTTATCAACACATACTCACACTGGGTTTAATTTGTTTGCCAAATCTGTAGCTACATTCATGGCTTTACCGCCAACAGGCTGCTTTTTTGGAGTAATGAAAAGCAGTTTGATTTATTACATTTTTAACAATTTTACAACATACTGTGACTTAAATCGGGCTCCAGTTGTTCTTTGGATGTTCCTCTTTGTAAAGTGCAACATTGCAATCAATAAATCATCCATGGGGAAAGTTTTAAATAATGTAGATTTAAATCACCATCAAAAGTTTGCATATAATCAACATGAAAAAAACACAGTAGGGAGGGTTTGAAATCAACATGAAAACACAGTAGAGAAGGTTTGAAAAAGTCTAAATGTTAAAAATAAGACTCATAAGTTTTGGAGTCCAGCAAAGACATCTGATGACTGTTAAATCCTAATTTGTGGTCCATTCACATTTTACAGATAATTGATGTTTTAATTCAGTCAAAATCTTTAATCGTGCACATTTCACATAAAATTCACTATTTTTTAATATGCAACAAACATAACGGGAGCTTTTGTTTATTGCTTTGCCTAATATATACTAAAATCTACAAGTCTGCATTTGCTTTGTTCCCCTCAAACCCGACAGGTCTGACTGAAAAGTTAGCACAGCACCGAGAGGCTTCCCCAAACAGTTCACCTCTGTTTTGGTCGATGACTACTGCCTGAACTCACTATCCCTACTGAGACAATAAAACGGCTGGATGGCTATAGGACTAGCAGAAAGGCCAGTAGTTTACAACTCAGGAGAGGCAAAGCAATACAGCTTGTGTGAGGAAGAAAGATTTACAGTTCTCAGGCTGAGGTCACAAGGCCAAAGTTACCCTTTTCAGTTCCTGGATCGCAAATGAGGAGACGCTGGACACAAGCTGAAACATACAGCTACACCCCTCCAGCTTTAGACAAAAGATTATATCACAGTGAATCATTGCCAGATCTCATCTTTCCAGTCAATAATTGCTTACTTAGTTTGTAAAGGACATGTGCTATCTTTAGAAAGAACAGTCCACTTTAATCCAACCTTTTACTACCTAATAGAATGAGTAGCATGGACAATTATAGGAATAACAGTTCACAGTATTTATCATAATTGTCTATCAAAGCCTTTGTAAAGAGACATTTAATTTTCTCTGTATAGATTTAATTAAGACCTTTATCATTTGACTGACTTTCAAAGCATGCAAATGTTACCAGGTCGATGATTTAAGTTTCTCTACTCTCCTTTCTTGTTTTTTCATCATAGTGATATAGGAAATTTTTTTTATTTTACTTTAGGCCAAGTTTAGTTCATAAAATAAACAACAACAATAAATAATCAAAATCTTTTTCAACTATTATTTCATGTGCAATCCACTGTTTCAGACTTTGTTGTCACAACAGAAATGTAAATAAAGACAAAACGTCTGAGTAAAGATCTTTAATTGAAGCTTTTATGACAGCATTCAAGATGTTCACACACAAAACTTCAACAAGATGCCTGAAGTATTTTTTCTCATCTTGAAAAGAGCTTTCAATACTGCAAAACAAGAAAAAAACATAAGAAGGAAATGTAACTTTAGTTAATTTTTTTACCTTCATATTTTTTAATTTCTATAAAACATAAATGTTTATTTTGATAAAACCTGACTTAAATAACCTTAACCTAAAGAGGAATGCATCATATTATCCATATCATAATATAAAAGATGATATATTATGATATGGGGTATTTTTTAAGTCTTGATCCATTCGCACTATGAAAGAATTGTTATTGACAAGGATTTGCTGTGAGATTCCCCTTTCATTCTAATGGTATTTAAAAAAGAGAAAGACTGGGAGACACAAGAGTGAGGCTGACGTCACAGTCCAAGAGTCACCCGCCGTGTGTTCGGCGTCTCCGAGTAAAGACTTATCTGCAAAGAAGTTTGGACGGACAATGTGGGTGGACAGGGCGTGAAACTGCTATCATCATCAGTTCTGAATGAAAAAAAGAAAACATATCTTCCACAAAAAAGAAGGCTCATTCCAATTCAGCTGCGTTGTTAGGACAACGAAAACCATCCCTCAGATGATTAGTTCCACTTCAAAAGAATTTACTTTCCGCTGTGGAAACGTCCCCCTTTTGTGTCCTTACACAGGGTTTTCTCAGCCCAAAAGAAGAATCGTATGTTTAGTCAGCCTGTTTATTATTCCTTCTGTTCACACTACAATTGTATTAAATAAATAGAGTACTACTAACAAAGGCCTATTAGCCCATAAACATGTCCCGGTACACACAAAAAAGACTAAATCACAGTCTCTGCACAGGAATTAAGATACTCTGGTAAAGGCACAAACTACATTGCAGGAGACATGGTGCCATGTCTTGTCACTGACATCATGAAACATGCATGTTATGTTTCACATATTTTTTGTAAACCATCCATCTCAATTTTGAGAGACACCGCCCCTTGCAAAACAGCACTCGTCGCTGGTGATTTTGTGAAGCAGCAGTCAGCGGTAGAAGTTGTGCACGCGGTTTCAGAAGGATGAATGGGCTTTGCTTTTTCTGTTCGCCTAGACAGACAGGCTCATTGTAGAAGTAATAATGTGTCAATATAAATTCTAATAATACACACTTTAAATCTCAAAACAGGCCAAATTATCTGCAAAAATCTAAGAATTCAACATTTTTACATCTAATGTCTAAACTTACTCCAAACTGGACTAAAATTAAAAATGATGAGTAGTTACTTGAGAGAATTAATTACAGGTAATAAGTGGGCACAGGTTACATTTGCCTTAATGATCATAAATGTGTGGCTGAAGCGGCAAATCAAAGAGTTACAGCTGTTAGCTTCGCTGCTAAGTCTGACTTCCTTGAGATTTTAAGACACTATTTTAATGCTAAAAAGAGTCGGTTCAAGTTCTGTTGCGTGTGCAGATAAACAGATAGCTTGCCCAAGTCAAAATTCCAAACCGCGTGGAGAAAAAACATAGCGACAAAATACCTCAATGTGGATACATGGACTAAAAATAAAAGGTTATTTTGTGACAAGGTCTGAAACTCGAAGCGTTTACATTTGAATTATTATTTTTTAATGTCTGAAATCAAAACCCAAAAGTAGCCTGTAATAACAATATGAGCTTATGGCCTGTACACAACATGCAACTAACAATAAGATTAGCTTGTACTGTTGAATCACTTTCTTTTCTACAAACAGATGTGACACCAGGAAGAAGGAATTGTATTTATTTTTTTGCAGCGATGGATCTTTCAGTTAAACTCAGGTTTGCTTTTTATTTTTCAGGAGCTCTACTTTAAATTCCTGGTTGATTAAAAAACTGTGTCATAATACTTCAGTCATTTCAGTAGCCAGCTAGTGCACTTGTAGTGGATGAGTTTATATTCCAGCAAGAATATTGGCTGGATCTGTGCCTGGTGTGGCTCGAGAGTATCCATCTTCTCATACATGATCAGCAGATGAGCCTGCTCATGACCTACAGTATATTAATATGCTCAGCATAAAGAAGCCTCTTGGCACAAGACGTGCCAGAAGCAGCCCTTTAATGTTGGCAACTGTCAAAGCTTTGATTTCTGACTGATGAGTAAGGTCGGTGCAATAACGGAACGACACTACCAGTCATCTCACCCATTTTCCACAACAAGAAACATATCCTTTAACGTTACAACAGCACCAGCATCACTCGGTTGAAATTATATATCTACAAAACGAGCATCTCATGCCTACAAATGTAGAGCCAGCAAAGAGGAAATAACCAGAGAGGAACTAAAAAGGTGGGCGTTTATCTCTCCTATGATCTTTGGGAAATTAGAACTTCTCATTAACCTGTAGCCTGGGCTTTTTTTTGTAATATTTCAGAGAAGCAAAATAAACTCAAACAATGTTGGCCTACTTATTTAGGAGTTTATTGTTTACACTGGGATAAAATACTATACTATTAACTACCTAACTATATTGTAGGCTAATACAATGGCCTTGAATTTAAATCTACTGGCAGCAAGGATATAATTCAGTGTTTTGATACTAATGTAGATAAAAAAACGCTCAGTATAAAGCAACAGTAGTACCATAAATCTTCATGTAAAAAAAAAACTGAAATGCATGCAGTTTATGAAATATAACTAAAATTTAAAGCAACTCAGTAAAAACTGTTATAAAGTTTGTGGCAAATATGTTAGCTATTGTTTTGTTTAAAAGGCCAGACAGGTGTTAATAGAAAAAAAGGAAAACATAGTAAGAGAATATAGTTCGTTTGAACTATGATCTCAAACGTAATAGAAAAATGAAAGATATTCGATAGCCGAACTGTTGAATGAATTGCAGTGGCGTTCTATAAAAATGTGAAAGAAATATGAAAGAAGTGAATGAATGCATTATTACTATTTCCCCTTTTTGTTTTAAATAAATTAAGATGAGCTGACTTGGAAAAAAAAAGAACTTAACTCAACTGCAACTAATTGCTCGTTTCATCTATCCAATTAAACACAAAATTTTAATCCAAGAAGTTTATTTCTTGTTTTGAGTTCTCATCCTTTTAATAAGGACAAAAATGTTAGTCCTGCATATTAATTCTGCACCACGAAATGAGCCGTTATTTACACCTTTGATTATCATCACTCTCTCTCTGCCCAGGACTGCTCTTGTGCCACTCCTACAATGACTGGGCTTAATTGACAGACGTACCAAAGGATGTGTTGGCAAAGTTAGCCGCTAACCGCTAACATTTTCAATCCATACCCACTCAGGTGTGTATGTGTGAGAGGGTGAGAGGAGGTTGTTAAAATGGTGCTGAAGATCAATAGGATGTTGTTGTTAGTGAGAGACCTTTCATGGGAAACATCAGTAAGGTGGCATCACAAGTTGTCATGTGTGATATTTGTGAAATGTGCCTGGAATGTCTCTTCCTTCAGCTGCCTGAATAAACAGTCAGCAGCTACAGCTCAGCTCCCCTAGATATTCTGTGATAAAACAGCTCGGTTGCATGAGGTAATCTCACCCTCACCCAAATGAGATGGTAATGCCTTCACTCAGGGAATTCAGAAATACACAGCAGTACCTAGATGGAGGCTGCGCACCTCAAATGGGACTAATAATAGAGCCCCTATTCTCTTAACTTGGAATCTATATTATATGCTTCAAGAATGAGATCAACTATATGGGTCAGTGGGATTTCTGTAGGAAAAAAACATAGAAAGGAACAACCAAAAGAAAATATGCACTACTGACAACAGATCTGAGGAATGCAGTAGCTTACAAGAAAATTATTTGGGCAGAGTCACAGCTTAGAACTTTAATTAACAGAGCTGGTTTTAACTGATTGAAAGGGAATACGTGTCCACACTCATGTGCGCGTGAGCCTAATTATTTTCAACTCCTTGATTGTCTACAGGCTCCATAAATAAAAGCACAAGTGACTTGAAATGTTCAAAGCAAATTATTTTAGAAATGGAAATGATCAAAGAGCAGTCTTTCATAAGTTCTGTGATCTCTGAGCTAGAATACACGGAGACTTCAGTCCTCCACGCTGCTGTGGCCTAGGTCCCGTTTAACACACGCATAATGCACACATGCCCACTCATATACGCAGACACACACACACACACACAGACCACCTTCCAGTCTCACAATCTGTCTTTCTTAGCAGACAGTAAAAAAGAAAAAGAAATTATCTTCTTACTTGGGATCCCCAAATTAAACTAAAATGGAAAAAACATAAATTGATATTGTTATATTATACGTATGGATTTACATGCAACATGCAACAACAGTAAAAGCTGTTTTATATTAGAGATCAGTAAAAAAAATATGTGTAGGCAGTCAAGTCAGCCATTTTGCAATAATCTCTTGTTCACATGTTACAATTTATATTATCAACAGCGCATGCTGACTTCTAAGCTGTTTCCACTGTACCTGTTTGGCACATTACCGTAATGTGTTGATGAATACAAAGACATTTACACCATTTTAAAACACAGGCAGAAAAGGGTACTTATACTGCAGCTGCGTGATATGAGTGATGGCTGTATCTTTTTTTCCCTCTCTTCCATTGGTTCCTTGGAATTATTCATGGTCCCTTTTGTGGGATATTTTGAATGAAATTAATGCATATAGCAAAGTTAATGATGTTTTCAAACAGGAAGTGAGTCTAATATATTACACACATAGCTTTACTGATTCATTTGTAGCTGTTTCTTTGGTCTTGAAAGTCAAGAAGCGTACACTTTTAAATACAAATATCATTGTTTCTACAGTAAACAAACTCCCTCTCTTCTTTCTTCTGTTGCACACTCAGCTTTTGTTTGGGTATTACTGACCTGATGCATGTCAAAACGGTGGGGATTTTGTATTTGTTATACTGTAGGCATAGCATTTCCATAAGTATATTTTCCTTTTTGTTGCAGATGATTTTTTCTGAAACATACTTATAGAGATTGCATAATTCCGTCACTTACATAACTGAAAGGAATGCTATGGCATTCACAACAGCAACCAAACAGATAACATAAGGTACTGGAGTTGAGCTGAGGAAAATTGCTAATTACCTCTGCCATATCCTACTTTAATACAGGACCTAAAAAAACAATGTGACACACTCTCCTGTTACATAAGAGATGGAGTTTTGATCCCTCTTCTCTTTCAGATATCTTAAAACTAGGATTATTCCCTGCTGACTGAAATAAATACCATCAGTTCTTCCTTGTTCTTTTTGAAAGTCATCCATGAAAAGGTGAACACGTCACAGGTCTGAGTCAGCAGTGAAGGTGGTATGCCACTGATCGTAAGACAAAAATTAATGCAGCTGTTTTTGATTTAATGTGATGCTGTATGCACGAATCCTCACTCGATGCATATCAAATTACCATATCATAGACTGCACCTAATAGAAGGCCAGGCTTCCTTACTGATGATTATTTTTGCCTTTAAATACATTACTTCATCTCCTCAAAGCTTCACTGGTCACTAATTACTCTCTCGCATGCCCCTGTGCTCTCTTTAGCAAGTGGCTAATAATTTCCATCATTAGGGCTTTAATTTCAAAGGGATATAAATGAAACCTTGGTCCCCTGGGGACATTATATTGTTGATGAGTGTAAATACATATATCATCAACCGGTTACCTTGCATTCCCTCTTGTTGCCTCAATGCCATTACTCTGTTTTTGTCTGTGCCATCCACTTTAGGGTCAACAAATCACATTTGTCCCCTCCATTAATGATACACCCCTAATATAAAATATCATCGCAGTGCAAATCTTGGTCTAAATGTAAGTAAAAAACATCAGGGGAAATTCCAAGGTTGTGTGAAGACCCCCTATTCCCCGTCACCTTATATCCATCATTGTAGATTTAGGCCCTGGGGTGAACTCGTAAGGCTGAAGGTTAACAGCGAGATTGCCATGCATCCTCCCTTACAGCGTTCTAAAATGTGCTCCCACTACTGTTACAAACACTAAATATCGGCACACAGTCACGTCCAGTACATAGAAATGTAACCACCACATACCAGTGAGTGCAAGCGCGAGTGCGTCAACACCTCCATGTTCGGCAAATGGATGGACTTCAATAGGGATATGATCAGAAACAGAATCCTTCCTTCAGATGTAGAGTTCACAGGCTTGATCATGCAGCTGCCTTGCAATGCATACTGCAACAGATAAAATTAAACACTGACGATTACTCACCACTTTGAAACACCCTGGACCGTGATCAATGTAATTTCTTTTTTAAGTTCAACCTCAAACAGCAGAGATTTGAGAAATCGTACAAAAAGTCTGTATCTCGCAACAGAACTGAACTGTTTCTAATGAAAGGTGACAGTTTTGAGAGACAGCAAAGACAACAGCCATTTAGGATCTCTTTGCATTGTTTTTGTAAAATCTAAGGCAATGTGCTCTTTAGGAGTCCAAATCAAAGCGATTTTCTAATAATGCTTCAAATGCATTCTGTAAAACGTGAATCATTATGCAGAAGCTCTAAGATGTATGTCAAAGATCATATACTGTTCAGAAAGACAGATGAAGATAAAGGCATCAATTTCTGGTCCAAGTGCAGATTGAAGCATATTGATGTGACTCTTCGCATACATGAAAGCTACCAGCTGCCCTTGCCAGCAAGTGGAGGACATTAAGGCTCAGACTGGTTGATCTGTGATGACAAGGGTCTGGAGGAGGGATTAGAAGCAAGGGGACCAAAGTTATGGTCATTCCCTTAAAAGGATGGCAGTGCATCTCATAGGCCTGGAGCTTGCAGGAGTTGAAAGATCTTCAAAGGTCGGCTCACCCAACACAACCTACTCTAACTCGCCCAAAATAAAATAAATAAATAAATAAAAACCTTGAAAGCATGAATTTTGAGAGATGTGGACTTCTAAAATATTATTTATTTTCCTTTTGCATTGCAACAGGCCACAACAAGTGCTGCAGGCCACATCTGGAAAAAAAAAACTTTTGCTTTTAGGTTGTTTTTTATTCTCCATGTGAAATGATCATTGTCAGTCATATGATTACCTCCTGAGCTTCCCAGCTTACCCAGAGACCATGAAATCTCAAAAACTGGCTCATCAAAAACTGTCAAAATCTCAGTTATGTAAGGCATAGATAATAAATGAAAAAGGAAAAAGGGGCATCTTTTAAGAACCAACCACAGGGGTAAATTGCAATGCATCAAAAGACAAATATGCAGCAAATATAAGGATAGACGGGACCTTTCTCTCTATGCTGCTATATATTGGCTATTAAGTGATGCTCTATTTAGTGACACTAATTATTCGTAAATTCTCTAACAACAGTCAGAAAGCTGAGTATTTCAGGGACTTGGGATTAAGCTGACAGTACAGCAGCCATAGGGAAGAGTGACACGAGCCTAGTTTAATAAGACCTGGTACAAGCTGGACTACACAGGGGGTTGGCACCACTGAAATCAGAAAACTACAGTGCAGATGAAGATGAGAGAGAAAACTAAAGGATCAGTTTGGTTAAATCATAAGAGCATAGCACTGGGATTCAGCATTGCTATTCACCATTTCATGGCTCGTAACCACACAAAACATGTGCATGTAAGTGCGATGATTGCAATATCGACCATAAGAGCACAGTTTCTGAGTGTTTTATGAGCTTCTTAATTGTCCACCTGCACATGCTTAGACATGAAACAGATTGCCTTACAAATGTTCTCAGATAGAAACAAGTGACCCATAAATTTCACTCTTCTATTCGGTCTTTTTTAATAGTTGTACAGTATATTGTCCAGTAATTTACTTCAGAGTTAAAATTTGTTCATTTTTTTTAACTGTCCTTATTATACAGTGTTGACATCACCCCTCTGTGGCAACCATTCTTTAGCTGGAAAGGGCAAGCAAAAGAAAATAAAGCAGCAGTCAGTGCAGCTGCATTCATTTTTCCATGTGGTGTTGCAATTTTCCATGGAGTGGCAGTGTAAAGAAAAAGCAGATATGTGAGTCAAGTTCCATGCATGTCAGGGGGGAATCTAGCAGAGGATACCTACTTACCATCAGACCACTCTGGCAGAGATTAGGGTGCCATCACGAAGAAGTCATGGAAGGTGAAGATGGGCAGGAGCTGCAGGGATAGATATAGATGAGGCAGAGGAACAAGAGGATCTGGGAAAAAAATTAAAAATGGGAAGGGTCACAGAGGGGTGGATGAAAAGAAACCAAGATGGGAAGCAAAAGAACCACTGGCTTGACCTAGGAAGGAGGGGGGGAGGAGCCAGAGATCCAATTAAAAACACATTTGGTCAGTCAGAATGAACATTGACACAGATTCTCCTGCCTCTTCAGACCAAGCTCAGTCCCTAAGCCGCACCCAGAAAAGTACGCCAGCTACACAGTGTAAGTTGTGCTAGATGCCATATGTGGTTATGATAATGCATAAAACCAAAGACCACGTTACACAGTTGGCGCTCAACCTAAGTATGGCACAACAGCAGCCCAGGGGGTAAGATAGTAATTTACCAGATCCCAGGATGAAATAGATTTATTTACATTAAAATGATGTATACCCTGTATACCTTGTCCAAAATGGCGCCTATGCTTGTTGCTAGGCAGAGAGTACAAAAGTAAAGATGGCGGCAGACAAGTGGCAAACTGAGAAGTGGAGGTCTAATCAGTTGTGATTACTTGGGGGAAGGGTGTGGCAAGGTTCAGACCATAGCATGGTCAGAATATATGAAGAAAGGGTTACGTGCTGGAGGCTGAGAATATCAGTGTTTAGCTTGTTACCTTTTGACTCCTAACACTACAGAAGAACTATTTTGCTTATACAAACACAGAGGCTTCTTTGAGCTCAAAATTATTTTTGATCACCTCTATTATGCTTTCTGTGGAGAGATGTATTATTTTTAGAAACAGAGCAGAAAAGGGCAGAATGCGACAGTTTGGGGTTCAGTAGAAGAAGAATGAGTTACAGAATATCTCAAGATTTTTTTAAAGATAACTGTAGTACATAAAGCATTTGATGAAAGGTATTGATATTGTTGCATTTCAGGACAAAGTGGCCTCATAATTTCAGTCATCTCATCATTAAAGCATACTGATCAAAGCACACTAGGTTGGCTTAAATTTGCTCAAAAAGGAAACACTTCACAATATAAATATTTTACAATATCAGCCACTTGAAATCTTCATGTTAGGCCATATCACAGTACTTACCACACAGAACTTCAACCCTATGAATGTTATTGTTATCAACCTAAACAGTACTGATGCAGCGGCACCAATTCGCTAAAGTCAACAATGAAATCATTAACACAGGTTAAAACTGTTTTTTCTCTTATTGAAATAGAAATAAAACATGTTGACGCTTCTCACAAAGTCTCACACTGAAAAGTTAAAAACAAAAATTAGCTGCGGTCAGATTCAAGAGGGATTTGTAAAGTGCATCATCAAAAATATCTGACTCTCCCAAAAGATCTATTCCCATGAGCATCATGAGCAACGAACACTAGAACCAGAATGCATAAACAAGTGCATCACAGATTGCAAGTATCACCATCTCGATAACAATTACATTGTGGAAATACATGAAGAATGTGTGTTTTAGTCAAAAAAGATGAGAAGATTAAAGAAGATGTTTTTTGGATTTTTTTTCCACAGTTTTATAAGCGTAGAAGTAAACTTATGTCGCTTGAAATTGTTTTACAAATAACGTAAAAATAAAAGCAAATGTAACTAAAATTGCAAACTCTTATGTAACATCACAGAATGTGTATAAAGTAACATGTGTAAGGGGTGCATAATCAGATGTAGTTTCAGCCTATTTTTCCCATATATATTCTATGATCAGAGCAAACTCACCTATAAGTAAAATTATTTCACTGCAATAAAGAACAATATATATATCAAAGCCTGTCAGATCAACATAATAAAACATTCCAAGGAAACATAAAATTGGTGCACATGAGACCTGATTACACAAACTGGTATATGAAGTTAGATGGCACTAGTCATTGACGTGTTTAATGGTAGAATATGCTGACATCCATACAGGTGCAATGAATAACATTTTCTAATAGTAGTAGAGTGGAATTTCTTTTTCTTTTACTTTATTTGTGATTATTGCCACCTTCACAATGACCAAGCACTATACTTTCCTGAGCAGGACAAGGACATACAGTATTTGCTATACCATACATACTTGTGTACATAGTCTTTAGCTACAGAACATACCTGAACCTGATCACTTAATTTCCAGTTACTTTTTCTTTTGGTATTGTTAGAGAGGGGGTGTTGCTTCTTGGACAGGAAACAGGAAGTGTTATCTCAGAATAGACTGGATAGCAACAATAGTTCACTAAAAATGAGCTATTGTCTGCACCAGGATTAGTAGCAAAACGGACTAAAAGCTCTGTACAGACAAATACAGGCTTCAAACTGAAATCCCAATACCACGTTTTTTATTTTAAAGAGAGTTTTAATTGAAGGGTTGTATTTGAAGGAACAAAAAACAAATAAATGTGATCATATGTTTCTCCCAAAATGTGCTATAGGCGAAGTAAAACATTTAACTATTAATAATATGTGCATCCATAAAGAGCAATCAAGTGAATCATTTTGAGCTTTTTTTCCCCACAAAAACCAAACAAACAAAAAAAGTTATACCAATACCCAAATCAAACAGAACGGCACATATGTCTAGCAAAACAGTTTAGAATGTAAAAAGTGTCAAAATTCTTAGAATGTAAATATCTTTAAAGTATGTTTAACTTATAATCTGGGTCTTTTCTTTTTTATCTTTACAGCTTGTTCACCTTCAAAATAAAACGCTCCATGGTGTATATGTGCGTCTAAATAAGACACAGAAATAATATAAGGAGATAAAATTTATAAACTGATTTAAACATGAAGAAAAATCAGATTTGATATCACTAAATGAAAACACGCGCGAAACCTCGCAACAAAAACACATCTCCAGCCTCTCCAAAAAAAAACAACAACAACAAAAAAAAATCATTGCGCAGTTAAGAAAATTAAATTCGTTGAGTAGACTGCAATTTCCTTTTTGTATTGAGAAGAGTTTATCTTACCACGTTACAGTTACCTTTGATTTTACCTCAATCAAATCACTTCCACATCTAGTCTAGAATATAGACTCTGCATGTATGTACATATAGATTATGCAGACTCATCGGTAGGTCTGGCTTGCACAAGAATGCAAACTTGCAAATATGGCGAATAGCACTGGATGTGTTTTAAGGGGAAGAACAAGGTTTGGCATCATGCATTGATTGGGTTTAACCACACACACTCCTGATCAAAGAGAATATAGACACTTTAATAAAATATAGGATAATTAATTATACAGTGAGCTTATGTACAGTTGAACTGTATGCTAATTAAACGTTTGAATAGTAACACGACCACTGGTTTATACTCACACTCTTACTCTGCACAGAAATGTGAAATATACATATAATACACAGTGTGTAATAAAAATAATAAAAAAAAGGCAAAAAGTGAAACATAATCAAGGGCAGGAAAAAAACTAGTGAGCCTTGTATTTTAATTACAGCTCATGCTCCAGGCCCGTCACGCAGGGTTGTTAAACCTCAACATTTAACTTGAGGGGGGCGAAAAAAAATTAGATATTTATTTTATCTTGCAACGTACATAAGTCATGAATAATATTTCTATTCATCCAGACATACATTAGACTAGTTTACATTCAAGAAAGACCCCTACAGTCAGGGCTACATTCAGCAAGACACTTCCTTTTACTTAAAAGATTCAAAGTTCAGAATAGACTAATCAACACGCAGATTTCCATTAAATCCTTAGTCATTTTTTCCCCACTTAAAGATAGATATCTTCAATACTTATGCAACACAACGAAAACTAGAAATACACATAACGGTTCCTATAATCCACTTTTGGGAGATGTATGGGCTTTAAACCAAACCCAACCGAACAGACCTCACGACAACAAATAAAGCTTGCCACATTTCCATTGAATACTCAATAGGATAACTGAGGACGTCACGCAAAATATGTAATACAACATTTACGAAAGTACAGAGAACAACAGCTGTAGGTTTGAGCTACCACATGAAAAAATAGGCCCAACATATTAAGCCGCCTGTGTGTGTCCCAACAACACCTCAGAGAGACGGGATGTTATTGCATTGCTTTGGTGGGAAAGAGTCCACGCCGCTGTGGCATGTGTACCATCCATTAACAATACTTTTCTGAAAGGAAGAAGCAGGGGAGAAAGTCCTTGAGCTCTGGGCAAAAGCGTGACCTGTCTGGCTGCAGGGGTACTGGGAGGACTGAGGCCTGTAGCTGCCTCTCTGTAACAACAAAGGGTCCAAGAGGGGCTGTGACCTGTGTGTTGAGTAGTCCAAACTGCTGTCAAATGTGTGATGGAAACGTGACCTCGGGGTCGGCTCGTCTCGACTCTCTGGGGACAAGGGGACATCTTGAGATGAGGTGGGTGGATGAGTGGGGCTGATCTGGGTTCCATCCGAGACTCGGCTTGACCTGCCCTCCGCAATGTGACCCCCACCACCAGGACGCGCGTCGCCGTCTTTGGCGACTTGGGTCTTGTTGCAGTGGAGTTTCATATGTTTTCGCAGGGAGCTTGGGTGGGTGTAACACTTGTCGCAGCCCCTGACCTTGCACATGTAGGGTTTATCACTGGAGTGCACATGTGAATGCTTCTTTCTGTCGCTGCTGTTCGCAAACCTCCGGTTGCAGCCCTCGAACTCACATTTAAAAGGTTTTTCACCTAAACGTGCAAAGAGAAAAGTGACGGCGAGTTACGAAAAGGTTTGCAGGTCTCCGCATGTTCTGCCTGACCATGTAAACTAATGTTTATGTGGGCTGGGTCAGTGGGTGGGCCATGTCATATGAAATGGGAATCTAAAAGTTTGTTTTTTTTTAAAAAGTGCACAGCCATGTTTCGCCCAACACTGTGAAATTACTTTTAATCACTCGCTCAGCAAAACACAGAGTCGCCCATAGGCATCGATTAGAATTCTTTAAGAATGTGACACTTAAAAGGTAAATTGCTAACAATTTACAAATAATAGTTGCTGAAACTTTGGTGCGGTGCTAATTGCAACAAATGAGGCAGTGTATCTGCAGACTAAATCAAAAAGGCTCCAGGGCCTAGTTAAACATGCATTAGATTAACCTGCGACCGCAGTTGATTTGTTTAAATTCAGTTACCATGCTTAGAGTGAATTATGGCCATCAGGATACTAATTGTTCTTCTAGCACAAAGCTGCCTATAGCTGCTAGCCCTCGTCCTCCTGCCGGACTGAAGGGAAAAAAAGAAAAGAAAAGAGTCTGAATCGTAATCCTTGCGTGTGCATATTTATCTAAATTTAAAAACAGAATTAAAAAGAAAAAGCTAATATCTCAATATATATTTTTTACATAAATTGATAAGCTGAACAGAGTGTGCAGTTGTGTAATAGCTTAAATGCCATTAAGCCTCTCTGTTCTGCCTCTGTCTCTTTGCTTTCATTAGTAAAATAATTTACAGCACAAGAAAAAGGGCTGCTTAATAAACGCCTTTCGGTCCAGCTTCTCTTATTTCTAAAGAGGCTATTCAGTACAATTTGGCTGTATTTCATTGTAATTAAATCTTGTTCCGCAAATTTTGAAATATTTTATATACAACACAAGCAGAAATATTATATATATATATATATATTTGATTCTGTGCTTATGTTAGTTGTGCAGAAAAAAGGGCAAAAGTTAGTCTGTAGAGTGACGTGAGTTTTCTTTTTATAAAAGGTTCACATTGCCTCAAGTAAGATGTCTATTAGCGTCAACAGGGCATAAGGAAATCATTCAAATATAACTCATTTTGTTTACACTGAATGAGGTCATCTCTGTACTTACCAACTACTGCTACATCACAGTGTGATGTGCTCTGTTAGTGTTCCTGAGTACAGGAGATGAGTCCCTGGGAGGCAGAGGCAGCGTAACGGCTACGTCACGACTCTCCGGTGTCCCGGGATTTATTTAATAATTTCACTGAATGAAGTGGGAGAGGCACCCAAACCACTAGGCCTGCTGCCTATACTACACATAGTTTGCAAATGTCTTACTACTTCTCTGTCAGGCAGTAACGGAGAAGGCGACAAGTGTCACAAAAAGCTTTGCGTAACATTTCAATAACACTTTACATTGTGCTGTGCAGATATAATAATAATAATAATAATAATAATAATAATAATAATAATAATAATAATAATAATAATAATAATAATAATAATAAATGTTTTTAAGAAAAAAAACTGAATATTGAAAACATAAAAAATATGTTCACATTGGTAAAAAATGAAAACTACTAAAACATTATTAATATTATTATTATTATCATTATCACTATTTGTGTTGTTGTCTTATCATTAACTGACCTGTGTGAGTCCTCTTGTGGATCTTTAGATTTTCTGATCTTGCAAAAACTTTCTCACAGCCGTGAAATGGGCAGGGAAATGGCTTTTCCCCTGTGTGGACTCTGACGTGGTTCACCAGCTTGTATTTGGCTTTGAAAGGCTTCCTGTCTCTCACACAATTGTCCCAGTGACACACATATTCAGAGTGCTCAGGTCCTCCGACATGCTCCACTGTCACATGGGTGACAAGTTCATACATGGTCCCGAAGGCTCTGGAGCAAGGCAGCTTTCCAGCCCCCTCTTGGCCGTCACTCCACTTGCACACCAGCTCATGCTTTACTGTTTGTTTTGAGCACCTGAGGAAAGCGTCTCCTCCTCCACGCTGAATTGCCATGTTCAGGGGTTTGTACAGACCCAGGAACTGAGTGACAAGTTGCTGGCTGTTTCCCTTGGGGCTGATAGTTTGGCCGTAAGGGTGAGTCCGGGTGAGGAGGTCGCCAGGCAGACCCAGCATCATCTGGCTGCCGAGATCTCGAGATGCGTCGGAGGACGCATGGGCCTGCTCCTGATAACTTGTGAAAAAAGTATGGTTTCTGTTGTCTCTGTAGCCATGAAAGTCACGATAGCGTCCAATCCCTCCATGTTGGTTAGGTCTTGATGCCAGTTGATCAGTGACGGGTGGCATGCCGGCTCCAGAAAGATTGGCTCCAATGATAATGCCCCTAGGACTGTGCTCTAACCGGTGACTGGGGTATCCAGAGTCTGAAAAATTGGGAACCGAATGGTCAACATATGCACTGGACCTCGTCTCTGGGTAGTCTCGCAAATTGTGCGAGGGGCAGAGTTTTAAGGAACTGCCAGTGGGGTGTCCCATGTGCTCTCCTGCCAAAGGTGGCAGCACCACGCTGGGTTCAGTATTGCTCTCCCCGGGGTTGACGCAAGAGAGAGGGCAGCCACTAAACCTCGAAAGGCTTGTCATGTTTTGTTGTGAGTTTGGCTATGAGTTTGCAAAATCAACCAATTCAGCACTCAGGATGCACCTAGAAATTCTGTTTCCATTTTCCTTGTTGTATATCATCTGCATGTGAAATTCTTGGCCGTGAACTTCGCAGAAGTAGGAACCAGACTCAATTTCGTTAAAGTTGGTGTGAGTCCCATGCCGTTCACTTTGCCCTCTTGATTTGTGGCAATAACCGTGGTAGTAAAAATGCTTCGAAACAGGCCATGGTGCAATATAAAAGCACAGCAGGCCAACCTGCTTTTAAAAAGGGAGCTTTGGGATTGGTTGGAATGCGCTGTGATTGACAGGCGCTGGGTTTGTTTTAAAAGGGACACGCAGGCGTTCACTGCACGACTCCGTTTTCAAATATCGCAGAGAAAATGCTTTGAAATGTGCCGCGATACTCCCAAATATTGCAGCCTCTTTAACTTCAGGCGACGTCTTATAATTCCCCTTCTCTAAATCTCTGCGTAGGAAAAACGCACAGGTTAATGCATAATACTAATCTTCTAGTAGAAATCGAGTGATTAAAAACCGACGTGAGCAAAAACACAACACAATCAGTCTCCAGCCTTCATGCCTTTTATTTCAGCAAATGTCCTGCTCCTGCCTGGCAAGTATAATAGAGAGACTGGTCCTTGCGTGTCCAGGCCAATTATTGTCAAGACTTTCATTTTGAGTAGAGCACCTCGTTTGAAAATAGTCAGAGTTACAGAATATTATTCCTCACAAATGCAGCAGTTGTTTGATTCAAACAAACAAACAAACAAACAAAAACATAATTGCTTCGGCACTCATTAACCTATATGTTTAGATCCACATAATAGTAATAGAAGGCTACTGTTCTCTCTCCGGGGTAAGATCATTGTGGTACATTTTTATTTTAGAGTACATTTCCGTACGGACGCAGTAATCTATTGGGCTCGTGTAGTATGGAAAATACAACTTTGATAAAGCAACAAGTAGTCCTACGAGGCACGATAATCGTCTTGTTGGAAATAAAAGTTGTTTCAAACATACATTTCTAGTAGTGTCACTGGGGAGTACAGCAGAACAAGATGTACTATTTTATCCATGTGCTTATTGTAAATCACGCCTGTATATAACGCTGTTCTTATTAAGCCTAAATAAATTAATAATTTTCAAAAGTTCATCACGCACCGTCGTGCAGGCTGGCACAAATGTGAAAATGGTTACGTAAAATGCAGATTATGAAACGTGACGAACAGCAGTGGATAGGCTCCACTGTTCCTAGGAAACTCAGATAAACTTTCTTACTTTGGGGTGCTGTGAGGACAGCGAGCTTCAAGCTCCCCACGCTGCTGAACTGCAACACATATTTCTGCACGTTTTCGAGCTTTGACGTGGCTCTGGTTCGATAAACACGCAGCTTTTTGGGGGGGGTTTTCCACCCTAACCACTTTAGCCTGATTCTTTTATCTGTTACTTTTATTTCAATCAACACAACTCGGCGTAAGATCCGAACTGCAGCTTACAGGTTTAAGGTGAAAACCCCTCTTATTTCCAAAGACTTGAGCTGGTGGTATAATCAACGTGCAAAAAAAAAAAAAAAAAACTTTCTGACGTCACCTGCAGTGGGTCCTACGCAGAGACAAAGCAAGGGGCCCACTTGACATTAAGTGCTGGAAAATAGTAGACATTCCCAGAACTGGCCTAATTCCGTGAGGATTGTAATGGACGCTCATGTTTATCAACCTTTAACCTGATGCATTTCCGAAAAAAATCGAGGTTTAAAGGCCAATAAACTGAAAGTTTCCAATCTTATATTCAGATGGCATAAACGCCTGAGAGACCTCAAATAACCCCTGTTCCTCATTTACAGGAAACAAAGGAAAACTGTTTAGAGTAGCTGCACTTTAAGGACTTAAATTCATATGCTGATTTTGAGGCTGTTCAGGTATACCCTTTCAGCAAGTTAAGTTTGAGACAAAGGCTTACACATATCTAACAATTAATAGGCCTTTTTAATATTTGCCCCATTTTTGTGCTATAGCAAGGAAATGTGAGCTCTTCAGTTAGTTAGTGTACCTGCTTTAAATATTACATAAATTTAACAATTTTTTAATTTCATGAGATAAATATTGTGAGAGGTTACCTTCAAACAATAAATCATAAAATTGGAAGCAATGGCAACGACAGTAAACAGTGTTTATTTGGTTAGGGGTTTGCAATGTTGCTTTACGCACATGCAATGTTATTATGACAAACAACTAATTTGAAAATTGCACGTCAATGTACAAAACTTCAGGTCAAATATCTACTTTGTAAGAAATGTAAGCATTTTGACATCTGAAATCTCCTCCAGCCCTGCAGCCTTATAAGTCTGGTTTATGCTGGCTGTTTGACAAGGCAGATGAAATTCTGGTGACTGCTGCATGTGAAATATCACTTGCAACAATCAAAACATTCATGTCAGGGCATAGTTTTTACAGCCACAAGGTCCATGTCGCTCCAAGTCGCTCTTAGTCAATATGAATCAAATATATTATAAAGGCGCAATGCAGAGAAAAAATGGAAGACAAGTCAAATGCCAGTTTAAATTCAAGGCTTACTGAATACGAAGCAATGTTATAGACTGGACTGAAAATTCAGCAAGTTCAGTTAATTTAACCTTGGATGGTGATGAGAAGAAGTCTATTTTTTTTTATTAAATAAGACCCTTTTTGGGGAAAACTATTTGCACACAAAAGGGAAAAACAAGCACCACCACACACACACACACACATAAACACACACATATTAAAATGTAATGTAGCCTGTTGTAGGCTATATTATAATAATATGGCTGCTTTTCTATAATAATCTAGTCACTATCCGTATACAAATCACTAGCGTTACACATGGTGAATGCTGTAATGTAACACAAGATATAAATAATAATAATAATAATAAAAAACTTCAAATGGAAACCAAAAACAAAATGATTTCAAGTATCCATATTCATTTGTGATTGTGTGAGCTGTGTTTGTGTTTTCTTGTAGTAATAAGAACGTGTGTATGTGGGTTTGTGTGGCTGTTTAAACAACTGCATGCATTAGTGTGGAGTGCGCTGAAATATTATAATTGATGAGGGATGGCAGTGCACAGTCTTGCCATGACTTTATGAAATTTAGATGAATTAACAGGTTTGGGATGAGTCCATTTGGAGACAGATGCTCGAGCAAATCACAGCAAGAAGTCATTTAGCCCTCTCCATCAGCCATATGAAGGCAAACTCCATGTGCTGTAGTCAGTCAAGGCCCAACTGACCATATAATCTATGAAACACATACAACGATCTGCACAGTTATTATTGTATTACATACAGTTATGAGCCTGTAATGAAATAAATGACGAAAATATGGAACTGCGGAAACATTTCGCCACTGAAAAACATGAGAATTGAAAAAAACTAAACACATGCATAGCACAAAAACATGCCTAGTATCAATGTAATACAGGCACTGTGAAATTCTATATTACAAGACAGTTAAATTACCGTTTGTATTGTAAAGCAATATGATGAGAAAATCCTTCCCATTATCAGCTGCTACATGTGCAGGAAAAACTAAAACAGCATTTGTTGCAGCTCCATGTGTTTTGAAAACACAAAGCATAATGTAAATTTTTGCTTTGTGAAAGCACTATGCATTCTGAAAATAAGTGGATGCACATGTTATGAAGACAAATAGCAGAACTGGAACAAATAAGAGAACCTCTATTATTCTCAGACTCTATTAAATTTACTGGATGTTCGAGTGAATGCGAACCTGAGCCACTGTAGTGTTTTAAGCTCCGTCGAATATAAGAGAAGTGGGAAAAGTGATAGAGAATGCACCCTTATTCAACACACAAAGCACCACAATTCATTTTCTTAATAAATCAAGCAACAGACATGACACATTTAAACCACAGCAAAATGTGGAAGTTCAATCTTCACATTGTCTATTTATCCAAAACAGTGAATCACAGAATCATCCATGTAATTGTGCCTCTGGGATACATTGATCACTTTACTTTACATTTTAAAATGTAAATACTGAAAACAGGATCACATACAGTGGCATTCGGTTGCAGCTTTTCCATTTTAGGAGAGATTAAGGTTATACTTCTGTCTGGTCACTACTGAGTTAATTTCAAGTCCACAAACTTGTCTATAGCAGTAGCGGCCTAAGCCGGCCAAACATAGTGTGGGCCACAGGCCAGACATCATGGACTAAAAAAAATCACTCAACTTTGCTACACGCACATACACAGAGAGAGAAAAAAGACTGGGCTGTGATATGTCTACTGGTTTATATAAGAATAGAATTACCATGCATCTAGGTCATTTACGAAATTACACAATGGAAAAATCCTTTATAATTACTGACTCTAACACATCTAGTTAGAATAAACATATAAATGTGAGATGTTTACCATTTAGGGTGATGGTTATGTTCTGCTCTTTTCCAGCAGCAGTGGGCCTACTGTCACAGAGGTATGCACACTAAAATATTCTGATATTTTTTAGGTAACGCGCATGCTCAGTTGGAAGAAGATTATGTTATAACCAATAGGCTATTCCAACGCCCAGTGAGGTAATCCCAGGAAAGATAACTAAATAAGCAAATTATAAATACCGCAGTCCTGCAGAAGAGCCTTCAATAAATTGGCACGTTTCATTACGGATACTTAAAAAGGGGGGGGGGGGGGGGAAGATGTCATGTGTCTAGCTACAGAATGAATAAAAACACACACACCCAAATACAAAGTAATGATATATATGCATATTCCTCTAAGAATTTAATGCAATTGGCAATTAAAAAGAACATATAAAAATATTAAATTAAATATACAAATCAGTATGATTGTAAAATGGATTTGCAGCTTTACCTACATTAAATTAAATAGATACGTCCAAACGTGAGAGGAAAACGCCACTCAGCGCAGAGCTCGATGTTAAATATTTTGGGGTAAAAAAAAGCTGGTGTGCATGAGACAAACTATACGCAAAACCGCAGTCACGTTAGTTTTGGAAAGTTTATTTCCCCACTATTTGAAAGTTCCCACATTTTCTATTGTTCAATAATAATTAAAATAATAATAATAATAATGTTAACGTTCCCGGGAAATGCTCCCCTTCCTGGCAAGAAGTCGTGGATAAAATACAGAACAAAACAGAAATTTTAAAATAAAAAAATAAATAAAAATGCTACCTAATACTCTTGTAATCCTGACTCTCTTTATGTTTGTTTTGATGAGAGCATGAATAATTAGTAAATGAGTGTTTGATGTCCCCAGTTGTCAAATTCCACATTCGTGCAGTGAATTGAATAAAAAATATTCAACAAATGCCAGGATACAAGAAGAGATCAGCGGTAGTTTTAAATTTAACTCTCAAGCAACAGTTGCTTTACATTAGGCCTGGCTGATGACAGCTCCCCCCCTTTTTCTCAGCAAGAGCTCGGTGCCTACGCTGCTGCTCTGTGGCTCACAAACATTTGTGACTCATCTTAACCATGTCACTTAATTATTTCATAGCGGTAATATGGCTTGCGAATACACGGCACATAACCTTAAGTGGTGTATGGAGCATTCACGTTTCAACGAGCCAATAAAATATGGAGGGAGTTTAGGAAAACTTAACAGGCTGCTTGTCGCTTGCGAAAGTTCACAAAGGTCGCAATAAATCCCGATGAGGTTTTTTTTCTCTGTGTGTATGTGTTCGTCTTACACTGTGTGTGTGTGTGTGTGTGTGTGTGTGTGTGTGTGTGTGTGTGTGTGTGTGTGTGTGTGTGTGTACGCGCTTACTGTGTTGCAGTATGAGAAGACGAGTGTGTGAGAATGAAGGGGGGAGTAAACTGTGAGAGGCTATCCCTTCGTCGTGAGAGAGAGAGAGAAAGGGAGAAAGATGAAGAAAAGTAGAGAGAGGGAGGGAGAGAGGCTGAGCGAGAGAGAGGGAGAGGGAAAGGGAGAGAGAGCGGCTTATGGAGGAAAACGATGAAGTGAATCTCATTTTTCCCTCTCCCCCCTTCAAAATAAGTTATTGAGTTATGTTGTCGAGTCGTTATGTACAAAAGCGCAATTGTTACATTAGTATGCGAGCTGGTTAGAAAAGAAAAAACAGAGGTTTGCGGGTTCTTGCAACAACTGAATCAACATATGAGTAACAGGCCTAAACACTAAGCAGCCGAGGTTCACTTCAACAAAACTAAATCCCGTGTAACCTCCACGGGCTAAATAAAGTGTAGAGTTTAGCACTTCCACAGCATGCAGTTCACACAGGCCTCTTCTTCTCTCTCTAGCACAGAAAGACGACGGATAAGTAGGAAAACTCACCTTTTCAATCTATAACTCTTTCTCGACGAAATGTTCTGGGAGTGAATGCGGTAGGATGAGGGCGAGAACAGAATGAAGGACTGATTTGATTTTTTTCTCTCTTTTTTCTCTCGCTTTTTTTTTTTTTTTTTAGCCCAGATCCCCTAAAATAAAGAATGTGAGCTCCTTCCTGGGACAGATTGAGGGGGAAAGGATGTGAAAGGCTTGGAGTTAAAAAGCGCCGCTTGAAGCACTCAGCGCGTCTCTGAACTTGATCAGATTTTATGTGTCCTGCAGCGAGTCAGCGGCAGCCCTGTGAAACTTGCTCAATGGCACGAATTTTTTGGCTGAGCGAAAAAATCTCAGGATATTACAATTACTGCCATCTTTCTTTCTGTCTTTTATTCCTCCGTCTTACACCCTATAGAGCTTTTGCAAAAAAAAAAAAAAAAAATACCCCCTCCCCTTTCAAGCGGCTTCAAGAAAGCCACATTTTGGAACTGCGCCAAGTACATTCAAGTTTTCAGTTAATAAGAGCCAAACTGGTCACATGAAAGAGAAAAAATAAAGGATAATGATAGATAGATAGATAGATAGATAGATAGATAGATAGATAGATAGATAGATAGATAGATAGATAGATAGATAGATAGATAGATAGATAGATAGAT